TGAGAGAGAGAGAGAGAGAGAGAGAGAGAGAGAGAGAGAGAGAGAGAGAGAGAGAGAGAGAGAGAGAGTGAGTTCATCTCGGATGGCTTTTTAGTGCATGGCTTGCAGATCAGATTGATTTGCTTATTCACTAATTTTTGGGTGATTGTTTGATTGATTGATTGTCTTTAGTGTCCTGATTGATTGATTGATTGCTTGATTGATTGATTGCTTGATTGATTGCTTGATTGATTGCTTGATTGATTGCTTGATCTGATTACCTGATTGTGTTTGCTTGATTGCTTGATTTCTTGATTGATTGCTGATTTGATTACCTGATTGATTGATTGATTGATTGATAGATTGATTGATTGATTGACATTTGTCATTTATTGCTTTTGGCACCGTCGTAACCAACCCACGCCTGATGTTATTGAATCGAGATTGTGACTCGGAGTTCGTGTGTCTGTTTATTGATTGTCACATGTGGGCACTATTTCCCGTCCCGCGAATCGAACGTACAATCATTTTAGATGTATTTGGACCATTTTTCCGTCCGGATACGTCGATAGTTTCAGCGCTTGATCTTGGACTACGGCAACAATGAAGGTTCAAGATTTGATCGAGCAAGGAGCCAAGCTTGGACTTGTGCCACGTGGCATGTGCATGATTGGGATTGGGATCGACTAACCGGTGTCTGTCTGTCTACCGCCATGAGGCAAGAACAAGAGTTGATCCATCGAGGAGCCGATCTTCGACTACATTCATTCCCTCGAATACAACGCCCGGTCATTATCGCTGCAGCTGGACTGCAAGTTTTTTGCCAAATACAGCTATAATGACCGTACGTTGTATTCAGGTGAAAAGGGCAGTGGCACGTGGCAGAAACACACGTGATCAATCGGTCGATCAGTCGATTTACTGATCGGACTACGATAGCCATGCACGTACAAGATGAAGGAGCCGAGCTTGGGACTTACATGTGTATGGAAGGTGGCAGGTACAAAGATTGGTCGATTCGTGGGTCGAAATTGAATTTGTTTTCACACAGCGGGTACAAGATTTGTCGATTTTTTTTAAGGAGTCGATCTGGGGCTTGTGCCACGTGGCAGTACAAAATTTGATCGATTCATAAGTCAAACTTGGACTTCTATGCCATGTGGCAGGTACAAGATTCGATTTGGTCGATTGGTGAGTCGAACTTGACTTTGTTTCACACAGTGGGTTCAGAATTTGTCAATTTTTTTATGAGTCGATCTGCGTTGGATCTGCGTTGGATCTGCATTGGATCTGCGTTGGATCGATTCATTGGCAAGGGCGCGCGGGGGGGGGGGATCTGCGTTGGATTCATCCATATAAGTCAATCGGGTTGATGTATTTGAACAATCACGGTAGAGTGGGTTTGATTGATCTATTGAACGGGTGATCGATCCCTTGGCGGGCCTGTTGGATCTGCGTTGGATTCATCCACGTAAATCAATTGGGTTGATGAATTCAACGCAGATCATGGTAGAGTGGGATCTATCAATCTGTTGAACGGGTGATCGATCCCTTGGCGGGTTTGTCGGATCTGCGTTGGATTCATCCATGTAAATCAATCGGGTTGATGTCACACTCGACTGCTAGATCGATCGAAAATGGTTTGATCGATCCACTACCAGATCGATCGAAAATGGCGGGCTTGAAATGGCGCAAGATTTGCGCGGGTGAAAAAGGGACAGGGGCAAGGTGAGAGAGAGATCCACGTAATGTTAGTGGCCTTTCTTTCTTCTCCCCTCCTCCTCCTCCATTTCTTCCTTCTACGCTCTGGACCTCGGCACTGTCTCCTCCTCCTCCTCCTCCTCCTCCTCCTCCTCCTCCTCCTCCTCCTCCTCCTCCTCCCCTTCTCCTCCCTTCTTCGACCTCTACTCCTCCTCCAACTCCTGCCTCTCCTCCCTCTCTTCCTTCTGCGGTCATGCTTTTGTTGTCTCTCTCGTTATCCGCTCAGATCCCTCTGCAGCAGCGGGTCTCCTTCCGCTCGTAGACACAATCACTCAGCTCAGCCATGCGCGCATGTACGCACGTCGAATACGTGTGTATACGTACACTATCGCTCTGGGTGATGCATCTGTCTGGTGGCCGTTACGATCACATTTTCTCCTTCAAAAATTTCCTAGACTAAGTGTGAGTATGACGTAAGATCGACGTATCTTTTAATCTGTTGAGCATTATCACGTTCCGTTTCTGCGAGCGATGGCTTTTGTGTGGACAGGTGTGACGTCATCTCCAAGTGATAATTTGACCTCCACCCCACCTCCCTTTCACGTTCTCTCCAACTCATCTTTTTATGTCATCTCTCGGTCATCTCGTCACGTGATATCCATGTCATTTCTTTATCTCATATCCACCTCGTCTCCACCTCACTTCTACATCATCTCTTCAACTCAGTTCCTACGC